TTTCGCGCTATTTTTACCTTCCAGATCACGTGATATGACATGTGAACCCTAGATCCGAAACGGTGAATTTATGTTATTATATCCAAAMATAATTCCTTGAGGTTCTCAGTACTTTGATAAAGAATAAAGAGGGGTCCAAGTGTCGTTCTTATTAAATTTGAAATGGTTTTTAGCCAAATTCTTCATTTTTTTTTACAACATGTTTGCATCTAACTATTTATAATTTATGAATATGAGGACCGCATTGAACTATGATAGAACAGATATAGAAATGAAAGAAAGTTGTAGTGCTTAGAAGGAGGCAATTCCGGGAGAAAGACCCTTAGGAATAAATTCGGAAAAATTAATTTCCGACCGCAACCTATTATCTAGTCACCCCGACCTGCTCCCAGTATGGCCTTGTAGCTCAGCTGGTAGAACATCGGCAGTAAAAATTCGAAGGTCGTGGGTTCGAATCCCAGCGAGGTCGGAAATTCATTTTTCCGAATTTATYCCTAAGGGTCTTTCTCCCGGAATTGCCTCCTTCTAAGCACTATAACTTTCTTTCATTTCTATATTTATTATTKGTACATTATACACAGWTGTTATACAGTGAAAACACTAAAAGTGTGAAAAAAGGCTAACGAAATAAATAGCGCAGTATAGTGTAGGTTAGACGATAGAAAAGAAAGACATWCGCACTGCACAATTTAGCAATTTTAAATTCGATTTAGGATTGTGGATTTAGTGTTTGCACTCTATTTGTACCATTCCAATGCAACTACTTGTTTCTTTTTTCAGAAAAAAGAAGACCTCAAAGCCTCAAATAAAAGTCAAGTTCAGCTATTGCGAGTCGACTATCACGATAATTTCGAAAAAGGAGCTTCRAATCGTAACGCAGAACAATATGAGGACAGTGTYTCTTACATGCGAGCTCCGTCTGATTATTTGGATGAAAGCAGTTCCAGCTCAATCGGCGGAGACTCTGGTCGTAGTTCAAAAGGTGTTTCCAATCCAAGTCTTATCCATAGCCAAACGAGTGTCGCCGAAGTGAGGCAAAAAAATTATTCGTCAGTGATGAGCCCA